AGTTAACTAGTTAGTTCAACCGCGCTCAAACCCTCAGATTTGATTTTCTTCATAGGATAATAGTCTGATCAATTGTTATCTGCACTCTTCTGGTTTCTGCTTGAAAGTTTCTTGTTAGGCGGCTTATTCCTTTAGTGATAGAGATCATGACCTGCAGTGTTCCCAGACTCCTTCAGGGCGGCTTTTTGCATTACCGCAATGAGTTCCCTAATTGCTCTGGGAGCACATCCTTGATGCAATATTAGAACATGATTATTCTAGTCATACTACAGGAGTGGAAGTGGTAAAGGGGTGTCCCAGTAAATGCATGAGCATTGATATACGTACCTATATATTTTGGTGAGGTCTTCATGATCCTTCTTTCCAAGTTTCGCATTTATGTTTATCTGCTTTAGAAGCTGGTGAACTATTAGCAAAATTTCTACAAAATGTTGAAGTTTGACTTTGAGAAGTCTATGACATAGTTATAACTAGGGGTAGATTCGCACTGTCTGTGTGTTTATTGGATATTCATAGTTTTGTTTCTGTTGCAGTGTCTCATTTCATCTTGACAGACATCATTCCTGCATCCATTGTGGGGGTAAGTTTTCAACAGCTTAACACTTTGAAATGCTAAACAGATATTTTGGCAGTAATACCTTAAACAAGCAATAGAATGAAAGAACAAAACCACTGGTCTGGTTGATTGAAGAAGCAGAATATAATCCAAGAAAGGTTTGAAAATGTTTTCAAATTTAAAGTAAGATTCAACAACACATCATATATTCACTTACCTGCATTTAATGACAATTGTTGTGTGCATTTATTTGGTTTCTGCGCAAAGATGATTTAGTTAACTAATTACTAGTATGGAATAATGCTGAAATGCTCAATATTTTTCATAGCAGTGGTTATGATAGTTAACTCATCATGACTATCTAGTTAGTTACCTGGGAAAATTGCTGCTCTCAGAACCCCTTAACTTAAAGTAACTAACTATCTAGGTACCAGGCAGGAACAACTATGGGCTATGGGCTACTTGAACATATATATGTCTTCTCCCTCCTCTGATTTCCTTCATAAAATGAAATAAAATATACAAAGAAGAATCAAGTTAGCCATAAGTCAACACTTGAACAATGGTTTCAGAAGCACTGTACTCTGTTCTCTATTATAAAAGTGCTTCTATTTGACATATTAGTTTGCCCTGTCTCCAATTCTCACAATTCATTCTTTCCCCATTTCTCGGATTTGATTTTTTTACTAGGGGAATTATGAAATTCATCTTCATCCTTGTCATCATTTATAACCGTTAATTTGCGCTTCCTTGTTCCTTTGACACTTGATCCAGATGCTCCATTTGTTGAGGTATGATTTGGGGAAGTGTTGAACTTCCCATTTGGCGACGGAGGGGATACACTCGATGTTCCCAATTGATTTTTAAAACCAAAGCTCTGGAGCTTTTCAATGCGTCTTTTTATTGCAATCGCAGTGCATTCTGGAAATAAATTAGCCGTGAACCATATACATACTTATATACGCTAAAAAAATGAAATTGATGATGATTTGTTGCTTACCAAGGCCCATGTATGCCGCCAATTCTTCATGAGCTTTTTTCCCGAGCTTCGCATACTTCAGGATTCCTCGCAATAACTTAAGCAATGTTAGTTGTATCAGATCATAGTGCAAGTTAGAAGAGCTAAAATATCGCACAGACCTTTGCATCAGTAGGAGCATCCCATGTCATGGGCATGTTGACAATAATGCTAAAAGCAATGTATTTTGTGAAGTAACGGATTTCTATTTTTTGTTGAGGGAAGGGAGAGTTGGTCAAGGTCCTGAAGCCGATGATTGTAGATGTAGAAGGGTGGAAGATATTTATGTGCTGGAGGAATTGGTTTTTGGGAGTGTTTGGGGAGAGAAGACCCCTTGGAAGAAATTTAAAATAAAATAATATAAAATACCATTTTTATTCACTGGTTTATGGTGGGGGTGTTCTTGTCTAACATTAGAAGCCAATGGATCAGGAAGCTTCTGCAGATGAAGCTATTTGGACATTTGTGATAAGCTCCCGCTGGGAGGGACCTTTCATCTCCTGCTCTTCGTACATTAAATCTAGATTAAAGCAGACCGCCGTTGAGTATTGCGGTGTAACTAATTAGCTAGTTAACTAAGAGTGCTGGGGATGCTCACCAACACTGCAAGAAGATAAGTTAAGATACCCACTCCAAAATTGATAAGAGTTCTACGTATGTCCGAGCACGCAACTACATTGGAATATCTGGTAAATAGTTAAAAGGTGGTTCGTTTTGACTAATAACTCGAGCTTTTCGGTGTGAACATTGACCCTTCTACTGACGCCATCGTGCAGTAACTCGGAGCATCATGGTGATGGCCAAAGTTTTAATTTCTTTCAAGCACCCGCAAGGAACATTCTTGGGATAAGTCTGAAAGTGTATATATGAATGTTTGTCTTTCGCAGAAGAATTTCTGACTTTCCACTCATTAAATGATTTTATCAATGATTTCTAGAGGGTTGACTTCTTAATTCAATGCCAGTCTTCTGAGCCACATATGCTGGAAATTCCAACTCACCGTCGCAAAAACTCTTCATCTTCATGATAATCATAAAATATTAGAAGTTATGGGTGGCCTAACTTTTGTTTCCGCTCTGGTTCAGGTAAAAGTAAAGTCGAGTTTCCACGAATATGAACATGTGTGCAGGTTATAGAGAAGTTTATCCATTGACTCCTAGTTACGGGCCAACGAACTTGATGTTTGCATCATGCTTAACTAGATTTTGCAGCTTAACTATAATTAATCAGTTAACTAATTTACACCCGCCGGGTGGGGTAGGTTGGTAGCAAGTCAAACAATGTAATGTCAACAACTATGTAACGAAGAAACCACCATTCCTCCAGTAATAGAGCAGCATATTTAGAGGTTAAGCTCCACTCTTAGTGTGGCATCTAATTTTCTGCTACCTTCTTCTGAATCACATAGGAGGGAAACGTTAACACAAAGGTGTAGTTGTTCGAGTTCATGAAGGAGAGAAGCGCTTAACTACTATCGAAGAGATAGTTAACTGAAGCGAATTGGCCCCAACTTTTGCGTTCATATTCAACTTTCACCACCTCCCAAATCACAACATATGGTTAGTCTCAGGTTGTTGGAACGGGAAGAATGAAGAGGAAAGGAGCTTCCCAACGTCAAGAAAGTGCAAACTGAGGAACAGGATTTTCACGCGGTCTCTGATTCATTCATAACTGGTGCATCCCCTTTGGGTAAGATGATGGTGTCATCGTATGAATCTTTAGTAGGTATGAAATCTTGGGTAGAAATGAATACTTTTCAACTCCACTTTTATTATGACATTGGAGCTTTGAAAGTGATTAGTAAAAAAGAAAAGGCTGTGAAGGCCTCATAATGATTTTCTGGCAAGTAAACTGATATGACATAAAAAGAATAAGAGATAGTTTGTGGAAGTGATGAGGAGAAACATGCTTTACACAAGATGAAGTTTATTTTCGGAGCACGATGTGAAAATTCCTGTACTTGGCTTGATAGAGCTGCTCAGGATGAACACAAATGCTGAATTACAAGAATGGGAAGCATGGGGAAATTGCAGGCAGGGAATCGACCAACGATGTATTGAGGATAAAATTCGGCCCTCAATGCAATCTCCGAAACAACTTGAAGACCGCGTTGCACATTGCACAAAATCATCAGCACCATGAATCTGTGCTGTCGCTATCTCCAAAGTAGTTCCATTGCATATCAGGGTACTTCACTCTGATCTTATTGGGCGCAGCAACATTGCAACACAATATAAATGTCCAAAAACCCACTGAGCAGGTCAAAAGCTGTACCGAAAGCCCTCCAAGGATTCAATGAAATTTTCGCCACGGTCAGCCTTTTTGTTCTGAATATAGTGGAAGGCAGTCATAAATCGCATGCGACAACTATGAACAATTGGTCGGCCTGTCAAATTCCAACGTGAAGACATTACGTTAGTGAGTGTTGTGACGGTAGACCTTGTGGTTAAAATATTGCAATTTAAGTCAAAGTCAAGCAAACTTACAACACCTGCCCAAAGACCAGAAGGATAACTCGGCGCTTCCTTCTCCATAAACGTAAGGGAGGCGTAGTTACCGCTAATAGCACAAAAAGCAACCTGAAGGCCAGGGGCCACACTATTTTCCAGCGTAAAGATTACAAACTCACCCCCCAAAAGACGTAAAACCAACAGGATACCGCCGTGACCACTGCTTTATGGAGAGGGTGGTGCAGAATAAGAATGGAGGTACTTATGCTCTGGTGCTTTGACATCTGATGTTTTTTGCTTGCCGTGCAAGAATTGCGGGAAGAGATCCATTAGCTCCAGCTATCCCTAGGAATACACCAAAATACATGAAAAAAATTATTAGATACCTTTGGCCACTCGTAATTGATTCAAAAGGGCACTAACTTGACACAGTTTTTGCTTTGTATATGCTATAAGAATATATCCGATTGTACACACGACCGCCAAGGAAGTGATAAAGGGCGCTTACATTCTCATCTTGTCCGCAAAATATGAAACTATTATTGCAACTCGTACACTGACTAGGGCTTGTGGTGCTAATAAGGGAAACACTTTGCTAGTAGAGTATCCTAGTCCCTGAAGTAGTTCACCTAGACCCCAATGGCTATGCACATGAACAGCAAAGAACAGCAAAGAACTCTCAGGCGTTGTTAGGATGTGTTATGAGCTGAATCATGAATTGTAACACTTAAACAGACAAATGAGTGAAAAGGGGAAGAGGCAGTCACGGACTTAATCCAGAGTTGCCAGCGACACAAAGTTTGAAAAATTTATATACCAGTAAAATGGATCATGTTCGGTATCTGCACGATCCTGATTCAAGCCCGCTTTGATAATTTCAACCAGAAGCCCAATATTTCAAGAAGGCAGGTAATTAAGCCCTCGATAACGAAGATCCATCTCCAGCCACGAAGGCCGCCAAGTCCTTCCATGTGGATTATGCATATGCAAGCAATGAGCTAAACGCGTTGGCGGGAATATTAATGGAGTAGAACCAAGCAAACCTAGAGGAGTCAAATTTGAGAGAAACTCATAGTATGGTAAATCAAAGAATGTAATTTTTACCTTTGGTGGACCTGGTATCTCCGATACCAACAGCTTATCAAGTACATGCAGCCTAGACTGTATGCTAGTGAGCTGGGGATGAAAACATGGACTCGGGAGTAAAATCTTACAAGAAACCAGCTTTAAACAGTCTGAGAAGTAGTTTAACCACGAGCATGTGCTAACAGATTTTATCAGAATGAATAAAACCAGGGAAGCAACAACAAACCGTCCAAGACTTTGAAATCCCGCCGCCTGCAAATTTGGTTAGTTAGACCACGTATTCTGGGGGTCGGACGCTGGAAATAATATTCACCAAGGATGACAGCTCCCCAACTCGAGCAATAAATGACAGCCACTGGGCGGCTCCGACCTACCGGAGTATAACGTTGCTCGGGATTTTGAAGAGGAAGCAGGTGATGAAAAGCACCATCAGAACTAGTTATCGAATAGCGTTCCCCAAATTGGAACTCCCCAAGTCCTTGTGCATTCCAGCAACACAGAGGCCGATAGCTAAAGGATCACCTGTTCGCCTTCAGCCGGTAGAATAGCAGAACTGTGGGACAAGCTTACGTTGGTCCTGCCGGTACCGCTTATCGCATATAGCGCTATGCAAAGAACGGAACTTTAGGCCCACCGATCAACACCAGAAGGAGGAGATAGAGGGCACTCACCTCCTAAAATAGGAATCATTCGAAGATCGACCCTTCGACTTCAAGGCGTGTTAGCTGCTGCTCTTGAATTGGACATAACATGAGAATACGGAAGAGGCAGCAGCCTACTGAATTTTGCGGCGTCTCCGCTTCATCTTGTCAGTCATAAAATCTTCCTCATTCTGAGGGTAAATGGGGTCAACAGCGGACGCAGAGCCGGCCTTGGATGAGATCACTGTCTTTTCATCCATTGTGGTTTATTATGACGTGTAAAAGTCAAGTAGCAATTGCAGATATTTCAACGAAGAAGATGTATAGATATATGATCGCAACTGGATAAACCTGAAGGGGGCAGTGCATCTTTTCAATAAATACTCCTGCAACAAAATAGCCAGAAGGGCTTTCTGAAGTGGTCCTAAAACATAAGGGCCTATGCCATCACTTTCCGATTATTGATGCATATGTGTTTGGCTATCAGAATGAAGTCTTAGGATTGCTGGGAAAAGAGGCGTCTGGGACAATACAGCTCCAAAATTTCTGAGGGGGGTAGGAACTGAAAAGTGGAGTTGAGCAATAACAATGATAAGGTCTGCCAGAGCTTCCAAGAAGTCATTAAGCTCCAAACTCTTGGGCTCCTAGGTCTCACTAGAAGAGCGAAATGTCATTTACTGACCAAGCGCAGAATTGAAAATGTTTCCTCAAATGCAAGGATTGGTACCCCGTTGATTGTTCTCCGCATCCCAACGGTTTGAGCCATCAGTCCAGTATTCAGACCAGCAGTCAAGATGTGTTCACTGACCAGTCAACTAGTTAATGGGGGAAAAAAAAGAAAAAAGAAAGAAAGAAGAAAAAAAATTCATTTTCTTCAGACTGAGGTTTCGTCAGCAAAAGCAAAGAGAAATTTCCACACTTATTCAGGGTCAGAGATAGTGAAGACTCAGTTACAGGCCGCTGCGTACTCAGATGATAACTGAACCTTACAACCCAAGAGGTGTCAACCGCAATAGCGGCAATATCAAGATAGTATGATGTACGATGCTACCTATTGATGTTGTTTTGTTTGTTCCGAAGATAGATACATTTATAGTCTGCCAGAATTTCTCCAGATATTCTCTAAATGTTTTGGATATCCGGGAGCTAGCTTAGGGTCAGTAAAAGTTGTCTGTTCACTAACTATCTCAGTGAATCCAGCCGCTTTGCCAAGCAGTATTTTGATTTAGTTAACTACATAGGGAGGCATGTAATTAGAGCTCTGATTGTTGTCAATTACCACATGGCAAAAAAGGCCTAATTGCCAGTAGTCTAACAGTTTTTGCTTGTCAGAGGACTCATTCTATATTTCAGATTGACCTGTTAATTATCATCAATATGTGATGTGGAGTGAATGGAGCAAATGATCTCAGTAAGTTGTCATTCAGCTTGTTTGGGTGAAGCAGAATTGACTGATTGATAGACTCCCTCAGTATTCCATCATCATTGAAAGAAACTAAGATCAACAATCATTCAAGCATTCAATAAGGTTATCCATGACTGCAGATGCATAGATAGTCAAAGATTATTTGTCATTCTGTATTTTAGTTTCATAGTTGATTCTCGATATAAGAAGGTTCAAGCAGCAGGCATTACTCTGAAAATGAAGTTGCAATGACTTCTATACATGAAAGAGCAGTCTCTTAGTTATCTAATGCAATCTGTTGGTGGGTTGAATATCCAGGCAGTTGTGAAGATGGAGGTATTCCCAGTTGGAGATGTATTGGTTGGAGGAATAACCAGAGCCATTCCACTTACTATATAACCAAGGACTTTGTAGGCAATCGCTCTAGCTTACCACTGGTTTATGATGGGATGCAGAGGCATTAAGGGTGTCGATTTGTTTTTTGTATTGATGTTCTCCTTGACTTGTAATATTGGACTTGTGTTTTGATTTATTTTCCAACAAGATACGGGGATTCGGTGCATGTGTTTAGGAAGAGCAAGCTGACCGTTGCCAGTGGACCCGCCTCATGTGATCATATAATAGCTACATAGAATTCCGGCTCTTAGCCCCACTCGCCCAAAGCCTTCCCAAGATAATGACCTCTCTGACAATGGACTCTATCTCACAGTTGTTACGGAAAAAGATCATTCAGCATTACAGCTCTATGTACTTCCACCGCATAAATCTGTTCTCTATTATTTTAGCCTCACAGGTAGTTAAGGGTAATGAGACTACCTTGGATATCAGGAAGATACTAATGTATTGGAAATAAATAGAGATGGGATGTCTACAATAAGTAGATTAGTTATTTAAGCAAAACAGATGATTGAAATTTAAAACATTATTAACTTGATAATATTTTAAAAATTCAAAAGTAAAAATTCAAACACCATAGAAATAGGCTATGAAAAATTTAAAGATAAATATAAACTATGAAAATTATTATTATTATTATTATTTTTCTTTTCATTATATTAATGATGAATGATAAGAAATCATCAAGGCAGTTAGTAGGCGTTGACCTGATCAGAATCAGTGCTCCCAGCCACAACAATGGTCTCTTGTCTAGTTATAGTTATGTGTAACTAACTACTTAACCAATCAGTTTCCCTGAGATTGACATCACACTCTCACGTCACAGCTGTCTGGCATCATGGTCTTCAGATTTTCTTTGCAGCATCTGTCATTAATTAATTTTAATTAATTATCATAAATTAACGGAGAAGAGTAAGTTGAATTTTTTTTCTCTCTATTGCATACCATATCTCCAATCTGCCCAACAGCAAAACGGCCTCTTCAAACACAGGTTAAGTAACTACTTCTATAGTTAACTAAGTATGGCATCCTCTACAGCGGGTTTACGGGGAAGTTTTGCACCGGTAAAGGAGCCTCAAACACACAAGAAAAACCAGGGTAAGAACTATTCTTCCATTTTGGCCAAGAGTATATATACACATATACTAATAGATGTACCTTCATAGACTCGAAAAAGACATGACTCCTCAAAGTGAGTCGACGAGGCTTGAATCAGCAGGCGCCTTTGTTGAATACGTCGGGTCGGACAAACTCAAGGACAAGAAGGTGCTAATTACTGGCGGCGAGTACGTGGAAATTAACACCTCTCGATCTCTATCGATATTGACTGTTTTGTCTTTTCTGAAGTTCAGGAATTGGCCGTTCGGCAGCTGTTCTCATGGCCCGAGAAGGTGCCAGTGTCACTATCGTCTTCTTGCCAGAAGAACAGGATGATGCAGAACAGACCAGGGGGATGGTCGAGCGGTAGGGCCAATCCTGTCTCCTAGTTGCAGAAGACCTGATGGATAATGACAATTGCAAACGCGCTATCGATTCGCACATCAAAGAGTATGGCAATCCTCGCCGTGAATAGGCGACACAGATCTGGGCTCACACCGCATAGATTCTCCACCGTCGATGTTCTAATCAATAATGCATCGAAACAGATAATGTGTGAAAATTTCGATGATATTTCTCTTGCCAATTTCGAAAGCACCTTTCGAAGTAATATTCTTCAGATCTTCGCCATTACAAAATATGCTCTTCCGCATATGAAGAAAGGCAGTTCGTGCGTGCACATACACACCATGCCTTATTCAAATCCGTCTAGTATTTACTAAACGCCTAAATTTAGAATTATCAACACTACATCAGTAGTCGCCTTCCGTGGGACAAGTTCCATGGTAGACTATGCATCTACCAAGGCCGCGATTGTCGGGTTCACCCGTTCCCTATCAAAAAATCTCATCCCAAAGGGTATTCGTGTTAATGCAGTAGCGTATGTATATTCTTTATGGTTGCAGCACTGAAACTTCGATCGAGTCATATCCTTGAGACTGATAGTCATCACAGGCCCGGACCAGCTCACACACCCATTCAGCCCGATAGCCGCCCACCGGAACAGATGAAGGGCTTCGGCTCTGGTTCGATGCTTGGCCGACCAGGCCAGCTGAGTGAAATTGCCCCATCATTTATATTATTGGCAAGTGCGGAGGGTACTCTTTACAGTAAGTGTGCTTCTTCATCTGATGCATTCGCAATAACTACTAACCAGTTTCCTACACAGGCAGACAGGTTTTACACCCCTATCCCTTTGGAGATTAGATTGTAGAACATGACACCCTGTCAGCATCAAGTCTTGCATATGGAAACCTAGTTATGGAGCAGTTTCCAACAAGATCACCCTTTGAGAATTGTTGTGAGAATGATGGTATGAAGTTATCATTGTCAGATGAAAAAGTGGCCTTTATAACACTGTGTGGCTTTTCCCCCTAAGCACAGCAAATCATGTAAATATGTCTTTTCATATCTCTATATATCCAGGATATCAGATATCTGCGCGCTCGGGCGGTATCCAGTTGTATTCACTACCGGTCAACGGAACACCTCATTGAACCTCGAGTAGCTAAGGATTGTCAGTGCTCTAGGGTCTTTCAATTGCGCCTGATCCCTGTTGTTTTCTTTTTTTCTTCGATGTTGTATCTCTTGTTTTGTTTTATAATTTCTATTATTTGATTTATTTTAACCTATAAACTTTCGTTAAATGGTAATATCAATCCTCTGGAAGAAATAAAGGATGACTCTTCTTGGTATGTTTGATGTTCTTGTCCTGGACATGAAAATTTTCAGCTGGAGATAATCGTGCTGATATTTCTTACATGTTGAATATCATTAGTTTTCGCGGCTGATTCATCCATTGATAGGATGGTTTCTCAAGAAGGGTCGAGGGGGTTGTGACAATGATTTGTAAAATCTTTTCCCTAAGCACACATAACACAACCTAATATATGTTGAACATGATACAAGAGCTTCAAGGAGTATTGGGGAATTTTTTGGGGGTTGGAAGATTTCTGTAAATGGAGAATTTGTACCTTCGAGGGTTTGGTCATACAGGCCACAAAGGACAATATAAGGACAATTCCGCTTCATAGATAGGACGTTGCCATTTTTGGGGTGCTTCTTATGTACAGTACATTTATGGTTCATACATACTTCACAGGTCACCCAAGTGAATAGGATTGTCACCCCCTAAGTATTAATGGCATGCCCTCCCGTAATTTCGTAGTCTGGTGTAATTGTAAGGGAGAGGTGCGAGAAAACCCGCGGCCATAGACAACACAGCGGAAGTCCAAAAGAAAGGGTCCGAAGGTGTGACAACTCCACCTGTCAAGTGATAGTCTACCATATTCTGGACTGCCTCCATACTTAGCATTGAGATCATGCTCATCCCTGCTGCCGTTGTAAAAGCCTGTGCCCAACCCAATTTATCTCGCCCTAACTTAAGTAAAACTGTCTCGAGGGATATGGAGCTTGCAATGCCAGTTGCCACTGTCCAAAAAAAAAAAAAAAAACATAAGTCAATAATGGTGTAACAGCAATTTATATTAATGATGAGCTTACTCGAGACTCCCATAATAGCTTCAACAGCAAGGTCCGGGTAATGCGCTTGTAAAAACCACATGGAGGAAAAGTCACCAATCGAGCAGCCAATTAGACAACGCAAGGTGTTGAGTAGTGCTCTTCTCCAAATAACGCGAGATGCCCAAAATTGTAGGCCAAAGGGA